GGGAGGGAGGAAAAATACAGAGCTTCACCTCAACTGCACCAAGCGCTGTGCACTGAAGGCGAACTCCACATTTGCAACAAGCGGCAAAAATGGAGCTAGAAAATGCTAGACTGAAGCTAAAAATGGGAAAAGCTATTCTAATAAGCCAACACAGAGCAACGTCAAAGCTATGGAAATATTTGATATCGTCGGGTTTACTTGGAGTCACTCGGACGGACACACTCACAGATGGAAACATTTGTTTCCTTTTTCTCAAATCAAATCTTTTAAGCTGATCGTATCATTTTTTTCTGTTCATATGTTTCAAAGAAAACTGTGTAACAACACATCAAAAAGCTAATGATAAATAGATACAAAGTCAGACGTATTACAATGAGAAGATCGTTAATGTTGCTCGTGGTAGTTTGCTGCTATCTGGATAGGAACAAAAGGAGGATGGAGCCAAGCAGACGGAGCATTTACCTATGTGTTTTATGGACAAAGGTAAACACCGACTTCCTGTAGCTCCAGTAAATACAACAACAGTCTGTTTTTGTTAAAAGAAAAAAAAAAAAAGGTATTTTCAGCAGCAGGCACAAGTCCCTCAGAGCGAACAGGAGCACCGAGGCGTCAGCCCCCGGATAGCAGATAATGCCAACTGCATTATAAAAGAGCAGCGCCGCTTCATTAGAACTTAAAAGGCACCTGTTATTGTGTGTTGCCTCTGCTGTTTTCTCACTTTCCTTTAAAGGGTTTGTTTATGTGTGCATTGATCCATTAGTGGTAGAACTCAGCGGGGTCGGCCAGGATCTTAATGGCAGAAGCTGTTGTTCAGTAAAATCGGGGATTTATTTACAGAATGATTTTCTTTTTTTTCTATGCTTGAAGGGTTCTCCTGGTGAGAGAGGTAATGCTGGTCCAGCCGGCCCAATTGGTTTATCTGGTAGACCTGGTCCTCAGGGTCCTCCAGGTCCTGCTGGAGAGAAAGGTGCTCCTGTGAGTATGCCGTTCCCAAAAATAATTTTACCCATTGACGTGTGGCTTGTAAGTATAACCTTTAAAGTAAACATCTTTGTGCTTCTAGGGGGAGAAAGGGCCGCAGGGCCCGGCCGGCCGTGACGGTGTCCAGGGTCCTGTCGGTCTTCCTGGCCCTGCTGGACCTCAAGGCCCACCTGGAGAGGACGGAGACAAGGTCCGTCTGCCGCCCTGATCTCATCAGCTCCGTATTTTAACACTTGGGTCTAACCAGACAAAGTAAACGGAAAACTCAGTTGATGTCTGAATTTGAAGTTGGTGTCCAATTTTCAAAACTTGAGAGAGCACTCGCCACACGTGAACTGACATTCAATCAACAAGACATACCGGTCATAGACGCAGACTTGATAGATGTGCACCAAGATTCAGATGTTTGACGGAAAATCTTTTGAGACCAAACATGAGTTCAGAGTAAACAAACATGGCCGACCAGGAAGAAGCAACGGCTATAGTTTCTGGACTATATTTACCAGAGAAAAACAATATAAAGACATCTCTAACGTCCACCGGACTTTCTGTTGTTTTGTGTTTTTTGGGTTTCCCTCTGCTTCCCTCTCCTTCTGATTAGCTACACGTCACATTCAACATGCTACATCCTCGTTTATCCGATCCAACATATTGAATATCTACGATTTCAGATCGTAGTGCTTCCAAGTGAAGCAGATCACTCTTAGCACACCGCACATGGCAGGAATATCTCTTAAGGTTGTCATCAGAGCCGTCCCAATAATCAGAGCATCTTTAAGATTGTCAGAAGGGGAAAATCTGGACAAAAATTGATTAAAAAAACAAAAAAAACAACTTGCCTTGTGAAGTAGGCAAAACTCAGCTGAAGGAAATGCAGAGCTGAAACACCGATTTAATCTCCTGGTGTTCTCTGGAGCTGCCAATCAGCCGTCACTTGAGAGGCTTCCTGCGTTCTAACCTGGACAGGAAATGGACATCTCCATATCTGTTCATCCGCATGGAACTTCCAGGATGATCGTCACACATATTGGCTTTTGTCTGAGCTGCGGGGTTGTCAGTGATTTTGTTGACATTCACAAAAGAAGAAAATTGGATCTGAGACTGTGTGTGTGTGTGTGTGTGTGTGTGTGTGTGTTTGTCTTTTCTAGGGAGAGGGTGGGGAGCCGGGCCAGAAAGGAAGCAAAGGAGACAAGGGAGAGCAGGTGGGTTGTGAAAAGCACATGCATCTACATCTCGCATTCACATGAAGCTGGCCGTGTGTTCTGATTAGATTACGTTTCACACAACAGGAATAAATCACATCCACTATAAGAATTAGCGGCGTTTAACTCAGTTTTACGACGCGGTGCAAGTGAATCGCATGGATCTTTGCGAATTTGTTGTGTGGTAAAAAGCATCAAACGGAACAAGGCAGCATTTCTCGTTGTAAAAAACCCAAAAACGACCGAATTGATAACAGAAAGCACAACAAATAAGATGTAAATTAGGTTCAATAATGTAAAGCACATCATCTTATTAGCAGCTCAGCATTTTTTTAATGAAATCTGCACCGCTTTTGATGCTGCGGGAACCTTTTGCTGATGTCAGCAGTTTAAAAAGTTCAGGATCGTTTTCCTGCGCTGGTTCTGAAACAGAACCCGGCCTCCTTCATCTGCATCTGGAGTACTGCATGTTATTATGTCTGTGTTTTACTCCCAACACGTTATTAACTCTGTTTTTCCCAGGGCCCCCCGGGACCGGCTGGCGTTCAAGGTCCCGTTGGAGCCCCAGGTCCTGCTGTAAGTCCATGTCAAATTCAGTGCATTTGAACAGCATCCAACACATAAAGAACGGCTGACGCCAATCAAATCATTTATGATGAAAAGCACATATTACAGATCATCACGTGGTTTGCAGCTGTAACGTGTGTGTCGTTTGCCAGGGAGCTGATGGAGAGCCAGGTCCCAGAGGTCAGCAGGGCATGTTCGGGCAGAAGGGAGACGAGGGTCCGAGAGGCTTCCCTGGACCCCCGGGTCCCATCGGTCTACAGGTTGGCACCACTCTCTTCTGTCATAAGACAATAAATCAGCATTATTGCTTAAGCATCGCAGTTTAAATGATTCTCTGTTCGGCTTGAGAGGTTTTCTATCGACAGAAACCACAACGGACGAGTCAAAGTTAACCAAGTCATCCCTTGTTTAGTTGTTTGTAGTTTCTCTCCGAATTGCAACTAGTGATTGTTTCAGTGTTTGATTGTTCTGTTTTTTATTTTGACGATTAATCAATTATCCAGATAAAAAAATAGGCATTTTCTGCAGATTTGTTATTGAACCACTTAATCCCATTTTTTTGTGCTATAAGAAATACATTAAAAGACGCAAATAAACAATTGTAATTCCTTTTTTAACTAGGAAGGCAAATATTTTATTGCCTGAAATCCAAAACCAGCATTCCTTCAGCGTAGAGAGGGATGCAACTGCAGCAAAAAATAAATAAATTTAAAAAAAAAAAAAAGCATGTATGTGTATTTCTGCTTGACTTACCATCAATACAGTGTAGGCTTTAATCTTTTGACAATTTTTAGATGAATCTATTAATAACTGGATAGCAAAAGTCTCACTGGAGCTGGAATATCCGCGGGCTTTTTCTGTACCTCCCTATATTCTGAGGTAAGAAAAATAATAGTTCACTGCAATAGCTCTCGGTGCACACCCCAGATTAAAAAACAAAAAACAAAATCACTTCCTTCCTGTTTTATCTTCTCCTCTCACCTGTCAGCCTCAAACTACTATTTTCTATACATAAAACAAAACCCAGTTTCATACATCAGTCCAGAGTATATAACGGCTACCCTACAGGGACAATAATTAATAATAAATGGCCACAACACAAAGCATGCAACATTATAGAATGATGGGGAGAAAAAAGGAAAATTGCATCTGGAGCTATAGCTAATGGTTAACGGTTGCCGTGGCGCCACATTAGAGCGTCTCACTGAAAGGTCTTCAGCCGGTGAACAACATTACAGCAACGAAGATTCAAAAAGGTTCGACTCTTTAGTTTAAAACACGCAGGAGTACAGTCAACAGCAATGCAAACCAAAAAATGCACAACGTAACGTCTGAGAAACAAACGGAAAATTTCCACTCTATTCATAAATAAGTGGTATTTCTCTGTGAAGCTGCATGTAAAAAAAGAAAAATACCAGGAAGCACTTTAACGTGCCTTAATGATGTTTTGTTGGCCCGCGACAGAGATCTAATGACGTGCAACCTTTCCCACGGTTGTATTCAATTTATTTGTAATTATCCATTTATTAGGAATCAGCTTCCGAAGTTCCGTACTTTGGAAGTTTGCTGCGGGGATCGGGGTCGTCGTCTTGAATGAAATTACACACGCCGCTGCCCGTCGCTCCTCGGCGCTATTCTTTCTCAGCAGGATCGCCTTCAATGGACTTTTAATTGGGAGTAATTCACTTCCCATCACAATCCCATTAATTGCGCGGACTGACCTACTCCAGCAGTCTGTTCCTCATCAAGCTCATTTACCGGGCTGCATAATTAGCAACACCGCTACTGATTTTAGCATTAGAGAAGACCTTTACACAAATGATGCTTCTCAGCGAGGGGCGGGAGCTGATGTGTGGCAATCAAGCTGGTGACAATACTCAAAAAAATAAAAATAAAAAAAAATAAACAGGCATGAACAGAGACAAGTAGATGAAGAGCCGTGTTGATGCACAAACACAATTCCTTGTTTTGTTTTTCACCATTTGCTCGAGATCCTGCAGTAGAATGATTTCTTTTGATGTCCTTTCTTTTCTTTTCTTTTTTTACAACCCTACACCTTTTATTGACGACAAAGTGCCCCCAGATCAAGAGCAAACATTCACACACACACACATGCACACACACAAAAAAAAGCAAACCACAGCAATTTAATCGCACCAATTACCGGGAGAAAATGTCAGGGATCAAACGCGTAAGGTCGCCAACATGCTGCTCATTTGCTGTGTGTGAGTGAGCCAGATTAATTCCTGCACCTTAAGAGTCAAGATTATATATATAAATATATATATATAATCTTATATATATATATATATATATATATATATATATATATATATATATATATATATATATATATTGAAACAGTAGGAGAGCCGTTTACAGGATGCCTGATGCACCTCATTTTCTAAAAACATGGTTTAATTGAGTAAACTTAGACTCAACCCCGCACTGTTGATTACTTTTTTCTTTTTTTAAATAATTCAATAAACACGTAATTGGGTGAGGCAGCGCCGGCTAAAACATGAATTTTGATTCATTGACACTGAATAATTTATGCTGTTCTGAGTCACAGAATCACAGCAACGTATTCCCGTGGTCAAATTAAATCTCAGCAGCAAGCAAGCAGCTTTTGTGAATGCAGTTAATGATGCAAAGACATTAAAAGCCTTCTTCACACGACGACTCATCAATGTTGCAGTACAGATGTTATCAAAGATGCATTCTTCAGAATCTATTGTGGAATTTGAATGTTTCTTTCCGAGCTGTCGTATATAAAGGTGAAAAATCGACACGTTTTTAGTTTAGGTTATTACACTTCAAAAACACAACATCTTACCAATGACTTTTTTGTCTAGTTTCTTGTGCAAATATCTTGGCACATCTGAAATCAGACAAGCCTAACTCAGACGTAACTTTTTCATCAAGATATAGGATCTTGTTTTAAGGCAATCATTCTTGAATATTGATTAATAAGTACTAGTTCCACTGGCAGATGATTTGAGTTATAACAAAACATTTTCCCATGTTGTCAGAGAAACAAATCTAGTAATTTTTAATCCATATTCAAACTTTATTGACTTAAAACAAGATCCTGTATCTTGCTGAGAAGTCATTCGTATGTTAGTTTGATCTTATTTTAAATGTACTGACATATCTGCACATCAAATTTAACCAAAATACTTGGTAAGACTGTTTGTTTTTACAGTGTAGGAGCAGAGGTGATGTCACACCATGTGTGTGAAAGAGGAGTTATTTCACAACAAGGACAAAGTGGTTACGTTTTAAACTGTTAGCATTTTACAACAGCAACTAGCACAGTTAGGATAGCTGGCATGGTTACCGTGGCTACAGCTTCGGCCTCCTGTTAATTTAAAATCCTTACTTAACATCCCAATTCCAGTTGCATGACAAAAACAAGTTGAAAGCTTAAAATAATAAAGGAAAGCCACTTTGCTGTACTCTGTTTAGCCTTCCTGTTATGTGCTAAAAGTCTTGCTCTCTCTCATTTCAATTCGACTTATTTATGTAGTGCCAGTTCATAACACGTAACACTCCAGGTACTTTACAGACGTTATCAAACAATGCGACCAAGTTCAGTTTATTATTCAAATTGGTTTAAAAAAGTTTTCAATAAACCTGTTGTAGAAAATACAATTCTCTTTTAAGTAGCTTTTTGCATCGTTTTGCTTAATTTGACTTGAATATTTAACATCTTGCTGATCCACCAATCAGAACAAGTTCAAATTTGGAGTCTCAAAACAACCAATCGAGCTGAAACTCATCCGGTTCAAATAACTGGAGGATTCATTGTTAGGTTTCTAATTATTATTGTTGTTGTTTCCTTTTTTTTTTCTTTTCTTTTTTTTGGCATGGTATCAAATACGCAATCATGTTTTATTTAGTTTTTTGTTTCTGTCTCCAGGGGCTTCCCGGACCTCCAGGTGAAAAAGGAGAAAACGGTGACGTTGGGCCCATGGTAAGAGAAACTCCCAACTTTTTACGAGTAAGACTTGAATCCATTACAGCAACATCACATTTCCTCTTTTTTTATTTTTTTTTCTGTGCAGGGTCCTCCTGGTCCCCCTGGTCCCAGAGGCCCTCAGGGTCCCAGTGGAGCCGATGTACGTATTGCTTATGAACATAGATCAAATTTTCAGACTCTCCTTCCCGAACGATCTGCTGCATACAACTTTTGCAACACCTCATGGTTTCCTCAGGTCTTAAAAATCCTTAACACTCAATCATCTAAGTTATAGGGCTTGGAAAAAAAAGTTGAAAAGTGTCCATTTGTACGCCTATTGCTTCCCCCCACCCCCTGAACTTTTTAAAGAATTGCGGCGGTGCTGTTCATCCGTTTCATCTGTTGTTCCCCGAGGAACTCTGGAGTTACTGTGCTGTGAACCCCCCCCCCCCCCCCCCCCCCCCCACAAAAAAAAAAAAAAACACAGAGAGCGAACGAAAGAACAAAACCAAAAAAAAA